GGGGGGGGATCTCTCTGGATCTCTCTCGAGGAAGGGAACAGACTTACCCATCCATCCTTTCGAATGGAGTGGCCATGATCTTTCCCACCAGCCAAACCCCCCCCCTCCCCATAATGTAATGTTAGAATAGCATTGGTCTGCTGAGGATCGATTTTTTTTTTTCGACGTTACCTTGGTCATCATCCCCCTCCACGTCACGATCGTGGCATCAATCTTCTTTCCCTCCTCCTTCTCGTGAGCAATGATTGCCTTGAGGAGACTGTCGAGGTGCTCGTCGCCCGAGTCATCCTGCTTCTGAAAAGTATCATAGCCTCTGGACAGGTCCGCGCCGATATGAGGCGGGTAGTAGTATTTGAGTGACGAGGCGTCCGGGCGAAACTGGTGATCTTCATCATACGAGAAGCAGGTAAATTCCTATGATATGACCAGGAAGAAGAACAAGTAATGCGTCAGCTTTTCCTCTCTCTTATTCTCCCTCCCTCTCTCTCTCTCTCTCGACTTTGCCTAGTCATCTCTCACCTTTGGACGTTTGACAGGTTGGCTTGCGCCTGCAAACCGGCCGATAGGCTGCACAGAGAAACTGAAATTGCGCGACATGGCACGAGTTTCTCTTCTTTTTTCTTTCTTTTTTTTGTATTCTTCGTAGAGGGATGAAAGGGTATCTGTACAGGTGGCGTTGGGGGGCGGGGACTATGAATGAAGTTGAGGATGCGACAAGAGACAAGAGAGTCGTCTTCTCTGTCGTTGTGTACGAAGTACTCGCAGTGGTAGTTTGTACCTTTTTATTTCGACATACCCTGTAGGGAGAGATTTGGGGGTTTTCTCATGTGAGATGGTCATTACTGTACAGATTAGATGCTACAGTTATACGTTGGTGAGGATGCAAGTACTTGGGTTACAAGAGTGTGGATCTACGTTCTCACTGTCATCTTCACTGCTCTCGTCCATTGCTTTTGTCTCCCCTCATTTCGAGGTAAGAGTGAGCTTTGATGTTTGCTGAGTAGAAAGTGCAGATTCCTCTCCTCTTCTCCTCTTCTTCTTCTCCCACGCAAAGAATGCTGCAGAAAAGTAGAGGGAAACATCTCCAAAGATGAAAATAAAAAATAAAAACTTTGTTCATATCGAATCATTCAAAGAAAAAAAAACAAAGGAAAACATATGCCAAATCATCTACTTCCATCATCTTTCCTCGGCGCCCTTCTTGACCAGAGCATCAGTACTTCTCTCTATACACGCTCGACCCCACGTGACTACGCAAGATCAAGCGTCTCAGCGGGCGTCGCGACAAGTTCCCAGAGACGAGGGCGACATCCCACTTAGATACACCCTTCAGGCCTTCACCAGCCCACCGCCAACCAGCGCAGCGTCGGACACGCCCCGACACGGTCGCCTGTCTGATCGCCCACGGCTCCTACGCGTCTGAAGCCAACATCTTCCCTTTCAAGCATGCGCGACCGATCGTGATCCCTTTACCCTCCCCCCCAGACAAAGACGGGTCCATGCCGCGCCGACAGCGCCGTCCGACTGAGAGAAGACGCAAACCCAAGAGACCAGCACCACAGGACGGCCAAGGCCAGTGGTGGTCCATCAGAGAGATATTGGGTGAGAGAACCGTCTACGGAGAGAAACAGTACAAGGTCGACTGGGAGCCTGACAGCGTGACCAAGAGACCATATGTTCCTACCTGGGTACGTTTCACTGTGCCCACCCCGGTCTCTCTCTCTCTCTCTCTCTCTCTCTCTTGCGCCTTCCCACCCCTTGTCGCCGCACCGTAGAGTACGGGTGTCAGAACTGACGGATGATATCAATTATTTGTTTAGGTCCCTGCCGTCGACGTTCTCGCCCCAGCCATATTTGAATGGGAGCAGAAGAAGCAGGCGTCGAGCGTCATCGAGCCACCAAGCATCAGCCCTGCCCCTGCCGACCAGGACGGCGAGGACGGATCGCAAGAGAGCCGGTCCCCGCGTCCTGCCAACTACCGCCGAAGCTACCGGGGGCCTGCCGGCCACGGCTTTGCCTCTATCCACCGACAAGATCTTGACGCCGACGACGGTGCTCTTGCTCATAAGCGTCCCAGGCTTGACAGTTCACCCGAAGGGCCGGTTCCCTCTGTGACCTCGAGCACCTCGTTCGATACCGTCAGCGAGGAGCCGCCGCCCTCGGCTCTGCGGCGCCGGTCGGGTCATCTGTACATTGAGATCGACAAAGGAGACGGCTTTGACGCCTCAGAGTATCAGTCCGTCCAGGGCAGCCAGGAAGCTACCCAGTCCCAGTCCGTTTCCGAGCTGGAGAGCCAGGATCGGAGGGTCGTCATCGTCCCGGACACGATACCTGACTCGCAAGACCCCTCAAGCATCGAATCACCCGAGCCCCCGCGTGGCGCTCTTCAGCCCAGCCAGGTCTCGGGCGAGGTGCAGTTGATCATACCCGATTCGCAGGGCGACCTAGAACAGAGCAGCAGTCCCTCGCCACCGGCTGCTTCCATTCCTGCAGCGCTGCCATCTGGAGATCCGGAAAGCACTGCTGTACCTGCTTCCGCCGGTGTTGACCAGGAGATCCCGTCGCATCAAGACGAACGGAACTCGGTGCAGCTTCCCGACTTGGCTGCTCCATCTGCTCCACCTGCTGCAGAGGACGCTGCCGACCAGCAAAAACCAAGGTCGGATCTGCCGCCCCGATCTGCTTCACCCTTGACCCAGGCTGGCTCCCACTCAGGGTCCGAGCCTGCATTCTTCACTCAGCCCGCCTTCATCGCTAGGTCGCAGGCCACGCAGAGCCAGTCTCGGGAGGACAGCCCTGTATCCTTCGCAGACCCGACATCTGCCGACGCAGCTCAGTCATCGCCGCAGGTCGAATCTCAGGTGCCCAACTTGTCGCAAGCGGCACAGATCCTGGACCGCCGGTACCAGATAGACGTCCAAGAGGAATTGGACAGGGACAACGGATCAACCTTCGGACCGGGAGGCTACCCGGATGACAAGCAGTCCTCAGAAGTTATCGATACCGCCCACGGCAAGGAAGCATCTCAGCCGCCGCCGGAAGCGAACGTTTCGGGGCAAGAATCCAGCCATCTAGACCCGGCCGAGGACCGGTTCACCTCGAAAATGTTTCCTTCACACGAAGACGGACCACCGGAGAGCGCCGAGACGCCGACGCCATCGCGCATAGACCAGCTGCGAAGTCTCTGGTATGGTCCGGAAGACGAACCAGGCTATGTGGCACCATCGCAGAACCCGCCTGCCACTACCACTACGGTTGACCCGTCGGCCCTGGTGTCGTCGGGAGAGGGGGCGCGGCCGCAGTACCTGACCCAGGCTGGACGAGGCCCGGATTCGTGGCGTGAACCACCTATAATACAGGGCTTCATGACCTCGCAGTCGCCACCAGCGTCCGGGTCGCTGAGGGACCTGGTGAGACTGGCATGGGAGGAGCCCGAAGAGACAGCCCCCCCATCGCAGTCTCTGATGATACCTCCCCAGCAAGACCCTCCACCGGGAACCGTGTCACCGGCAGACGTCAGCAAGCCCGGCGAGACCGAGAGGTCGCTGGCACTCCTGCCGTCGCTCGGTGCCGACCCGGCAGACCTATCGCCCGCGCCGTTTGAATCGTCAGACAATGCCGTCACCATGGCCCAGGCGCCGCCTCAGACAGACGTGGGAACCCCCGCGTCGCCATCCCCATCTGTCGACGATGATGACGACGGCGGTAACAACAGCAGCAACCGACACCCCCGCGAAGAGGATGACCCCGTAGGGGAGGAGTACACGGTCACTCTGCCGCTGCAGGCCAGCATGCGCCAGCTGTACTACGAGACGATGCTGCGCTACAAGCACGACATCACGGCGTTTGGCGACGCCTTCCACAGCGAGGAGTTCGTGCCCCCCGCCGAGTCCCTGGTCAAGACGGTCGACGAGCTGCTCGGCCGCCTGCAGTCCCTGTGCGACTACCCAGAGGACCTGATCGGCACCTCGATCGAGAGCATGTCGCCCAAGGACAAGACCAAGTACGCGACCGACTCCAACGCCAAGTTCAGCTTCCTGTATGAGTTTCTGCAGCACGTGACCAAGCAGACCAACGTGCTCGTAGTCGTGCAGTCGGCTAACCTCCTCCGCCCTCTGTGCGACCTAGTCGAGACGCTGGGACTCGAGTGCTCCTGCGGCGCCGTCGGCCGCCACCACGGCGGCGGCGGCTCCGACGCATACTCAACCGTCCACGTCGCCATCGCCCTGGCCGACGGCGACGATTACGGCGACTACACGGTGCTGGCACCCCCCGACCTCATCATCGGCTACGACTCGGCCTTTGACAGGTCACGGGTGGCCTCCTCGCTGCTGGATCGCAAGAGCGACGCCCACGCCGACGTCCGACCCCCCGTCCTGCGGCTCGTGACCTCGTACACGATCGAGCACATAGAGGCCAACATATCCGACGCCTCGACCGGCCTGGAACGCAAGGGCATCCTTCTATTCGGACTGGTCAAGGCCCGCAGGCTCATCAACGAGCCGCCACAGTCCCTCGAGCCCTACGAGGTCGCCAGGATGTTTGCCGATTACGTCAATGGCGACGAGGATGCGCTCGTGACCTGGGAGCCTGCCGCGCTGCCCGACGACGTGCTCGATGTTTACCTCAGCTCCCAGTCTGCTACGCAGCAGCATGGCGTGGATCATGGGCGGAAACGCAAGCTCGTGAGTGCCCGATCCTCTGGTCCCTAACGCACCTGTCTCCCTTCTTTTCCCCTTCCTCCTCTTCCCTTGTTCTCTCTGCATCCTTTCCCCCTCCTCTTCTCCTTCTCATCGTTTACGTGATCAGTTGATTGTCCCCGAGGTACCGATTTGCTAACACATTACCCCAGGACGAGGACGAGGACGAGGAAGAGGAAAGAGGAGATGCCGAGAGCAAGCGGATCAGACGCCTCTCCCGAGCCGCACGAGCAAACTCAGCCCCTCTGCCCGATGAGGTACGGAAACTTCTGGAGAAAGCAGGCTTCAAGGGCGAGACCACAGCCGACGAGTCCCAAGTCGGCCTGCCCATCAGCATTCTGGAGACGCTTGCTGCACAGGTCAGTCTCCCACACGATGCAAGCCGGCCCATGTGATGTACGGGCGGGCAGCAGAACGGGCAGCAGAGCAGGCAGCAGAGCAGGCAGTAGAGCAGGCAGCAAAAAAAAAAAGAAAAAACCACATGCTGACATTCCATGACTAGATGGCCGAAGCTCAGCGCGCGGCAGAGGCCAACGACCTGGAAAAGGAGTACAAGTCGACGATCGACCGGCTGGACAGGCAGGTCAAGGAGTTCGAGTCTTCGATGGAGCAGGTCTACGAGAACTACCGCAACGCGATCCAGGACCGCACCGCGTTCGAGCAACAGGCGGCTCAAGCCAAGGCGGCACTCCAGACCAAGACGGACGAGGCGGCCAAGGCGGCGGACAAGTGGTCGGGCAAGATCGCCGACCTGGAGGCCAAGGTGGCGCGACTGACGGGAGAGGGGGCGGTGGCGTCGACGGAGAAGCTCCTCCAGGAGACGCAGGCCAAGAGCGAGGTTCTGGAGCGGCGACTCGAGACGTCGCACAAGAACGAGGAGTACGCGCGGCAGCTCTACCAGGATGCCACCCAGGCGACGTCTGCGATGCGCAGCGAACGCGACGACCTGCGCGACCAGAACGCCGAGCTGGCGCGGCGCGCCTCGGATAACCTCCGCAGCGTACACGAGATCCAGCGCTCCAACGTGGCGCGCGACCTGACGGGGCAGATTGCCGAGCTCAACACCCGGCTCACGGAGCGGGAGTCGGAACTGGACCGCGTCAGGGAGGAGCTCCGCGTGCTCAGGGCGAGCCGGCGAGAGACGCGCCAGGTGAGCGTCCCGCGCAGCCCGCACATGAGCGGCATGAGCCCGCGAGCCCCGGCAGTTCAGCACCGCTCGGCGCTGGGCGGCGTGGGCAGCTCATCTGCCAGCAGGGGGGCCAGCCCGACACCCGGGCCGCCGCCGCTCCTACCGGCCGACGTCACCTCTTCCACGGCGCCTACTACGCAGCTCACCAGCCCTCAGGGAGGGGTGGGACGGTGGGGGCATCTGAGGTGATGTTCCCCTCTGTGCTATCGGATGACTCTGCACTCTGTACCATTTCTCTGCTTCATCTCTAGACTTTGCTCTTCATCTTTTTTTTTCTCTTTCATGCTCATGTCTACAACACTACCCTTTCATTGCTACCTTTTCCGGTTGATTCTCTCTTTTTTTTTTTTTTTCATGTTAACCCCCTTTTCCTCTTGGCGTTTTTTTTTTTTCCTTTCCCTCTTTTTTCTTCCCCCCTCCCCAACTTCCTTTCTGTTCATACATCAGAGGTTGAGTTTCACAAGGGAGCAAAAAAAAAAAAAAGAGGGTGATATCATATTCCTATGGTGTTTTTTTTTTGGTGTGTAAGGGATGGAAAGGGATGGAAAGGGATGGATGGATGGATATCCGAGTTGTAGAGTAGCACACAAGGTTGTGATGATTATGATAAGGCAGGTGATGAATGGTGTACGAATGCCATCATTACAGAAACACACTTCTTACAAGTACACACACAAGATGTGTGTTGGATTTGTGAGTGTACACATGTAAGTCATGTGCGTTTTGCGCGAAAGGTACAACTTTACCAGGACGTGATGCGTACAAGATGGATACCATACACAGATGTGAGGATGTGAGGGATATCGTCTTATACAAGAAATGCCCTCTAGAGAGAGAGAGAGAGAGAGAGAGAGAGAGAGCTGCCTTGCTAGACCTTTGACGTTTACAAGAAACCGATGGGATAGAATGGTTATAATACTCATAACTATATAATCATACTACTACTCTCCGTAGTATCAGTACAGTTCAAGGCCAAAAATAAAAATAACTCAAGTCCACCTGTTCCACAATCCTCTTCTCCCCCCCCCCTCCGGTGCGCGCAGTGATGTGACAGAATTTGTATATTACTTCTTCTACACATCCGACATTCTGTAGTCACTAGGTTCGAAAAAGTGAGAATATATATACTGAAATCAGACATGTACAGGTTTCTCTTTTTTTTTCCTCCTCTTCTTCTTCTTTTCTTTTCCATCCTCGGCCCAATGCCAACCATGAAAACGCGCACGTAGAGGGAGATGATGTAAAAATAAAAATAAAATAATAAAAAAAGAGTTACATGGGGGTTTTTTTTGTCCTTCTTTTAGAGTACAAACAAGGGAGAAGAAAGAAGAGAAAAGATTAGAGCCCTGTCTTCTCTTCCCTTCTCCCCCAACTTCGCTCATTCTATCTCGAACAAACAAAGGGAACAGAATGGTTGTTTTTTTTACTTGGCCTCAGGGTAGAGATCCTCCTTCAGGGGGATGCCGAGCTCCTCACGGACGGACTGAAGCTCGGCGAGGTACTGCTCGTACTGGCCCTTGTTCTCGACCTTGGCCTTGATGCCTATTGTGCAGAGAGAGAGAGAGAGTCAGTATTGTGTGGGTATGTGTGTGTGTAAATTTGGATTGAAGAGAGAACAGGAGGGGGGAGGGGAGGGGGGGCAAGCATACCCTCGAAGACGCGGACGGCAGTGGCAAAGTCGTTGACCCTCCTAGCGGCCTTGAGAGCGGCGGCGACGACGGAAGGCGAGGGGACGAGGTCGTAGGCGAAGGCGTTGTTGAGGTTGCGCTGTGCAAGGGGGGGAGAAAACGTTAGTCAGAGAGAGAGAGAGAGAGGACCCACGATAGCTCGAGGTCATCCGAATTTTGGGGGGGGATGGAGGAGATCGATGTTGCTTACCTGAAGCTCGAAAACGTCCTGCACGCCATCAAACTCCTTCTCGAATCTGTAACCGAGATTAAAAAGAAACGTGGGAGTCAGTCAATTGGGCCTTTGCTTTTTTTTTTCCCCTCTCATTCGTTTGTTGTTGTTTTCGTCGTCGGAGAGAGCGGATCGCGTGAATTGTGTTCTCTTTTCGCTCTTTTTTGCTCTTCATCCTCTTCTTCTGACGATCCCTTCAATTGGGGGTGATGACCACACGTTGGATGTTGGTTGAACCTCCCAGTTTTTTGGTTCGAATAAAGGAAGAGAGAGATATGAGATAGAGAGAGAGAGAGAGAGAGATAGGAAAAAAAATCTCACCTGGCAGTGAACTCCTCAAACGTCTCCTCGGCGTGCTCGCTTCGGCGGGGGACGGTGGTAGTGAAGTTGGCGACAGCGCGGGCGGCCATCAGGGGAGCCGGACGGACGGCAGAGGCGCGAAGCATCGGGGCCGAGCTGCGGAGGGCAGCGGCGCGGAGGAAAGTGACGGACTGCATTGTTGGCGGGGAGAATTTCGAAGAGATGTATTCTGTTTCTTCCTCTTGGGCGGTGGAGTTGTCGAGATGGGTATGGGCGTGGTTGGATTGGGGGGCGTTGAGGAGAGGGGGGGGGGGGAGGGGGAAGGAGGAAAAGAGAAGGAGTCGGTGATTTCTTTCTCGAGGAACTGCTGCTCACGGGATAAAGCGGTTTGGGCTTTTTTTCTGCTCACCAATTGCAGAGAATTTGATACAGAGGAGGATTCCGGAGGGTGACTAAGCTGAATTAGCCAGTCGTTTGGCTGGACGTGATGGCCTGACTTTTTGGGGGGGAGGGCCCGAGGGGGAGAGCCGATCGACTGCACTCCGTAGCTTACTTGCGCCGATGCTCATTGGCCAGGACGGTGTGGTGTGCGTGTACGAGTACGAGGATGCTGTCCGTATGCTTTGCCTACATGCATAGCTACTAGCATCATCACATTACATCTTCACACGTACGAGTGCTCGTACATTATGGTACGCTATGGCAACCTATAATATTATAATAGATATTAGGCTTTTACGGCCACCATCATATTCCGTAGCTATACATTGTTGGTGTCGTCCTCCTCACACGCGTGCGTAGTTGTTTTGTCGGTAAGGCGGTTGCGTTAGCCCCTTCAGAGGAAGGGGCCGCGGCAGTTGTATTGGTCTTCACTTGTTCCATCTACCCGAGGGAGGATGAGGCTGCAGATATACCTGATCTGATGATGTTTGCCTAGAGACCTGAGGCTCAGATCCGTACCGGAATAACCATTATGCGGCGTTTGCCAGTGTTCATATCAACACTGGACTTCTCTTCCATCATCTATGCTAAATGCCGCAAGATGAGGGCTATCACGAACCCCTTCTTGCTTGTTATTTTTCCTCCTTCTTCATTATAACCTAACCTTCTATCCATACCGTAATTTCTCCTCCCTCGATCAACCGACCCAGAGCACCGTTAGGCCCTGCCTTTACCATTATATCTGCTAGATCTCTTCCCTTGCGTATGATTCCTCAGGGCTATGACGTCAATTATCAACTCTCTTTTCCTTCGTCGTGTCCAGCTTCACAAGGCACTCGTCAACGAAGTGCAGGAGGATCACGAGGAGCGTCTAGGCATCAGAAATATGCGGGATGGTAGCAGGGACAGATATGGCATGTGCCATAGCCTCAACGATGGAAATGGTGGCGAGATCACTCGGCTACGACCGTATCCCGACGATCGTCTATACCGATTCCTATCCGCTGTAGGAATATCTTGTGACGTTAGGCGCAGGGAAGGCAGAGGAGAGACTGATGATTGACGTTATGGCCCTGAGCGAACCATACGAGAGGGAAGAGATCTGCGAGGTCCGTTAGATCAATAGATCTGATAGCCTAGTAGATACAATGATAAAGGTAGGACCTGATGGTGCTCTGAGTCGGTTGATCGAGGGAGGAGAAATCACAGTACGAATAGAAAGGATAGGTCATAAGGAAGGAGGAAGGAGGAAAAGCAACAAGGGAGAAGGGGTTCGCGATAGCCTCATCTTGCGGCATCCGCTAGCGTCTGTATAAACATACATGCCGGGCGTATAATAATACTCTCCTTGTCTGGCTCGTTGATTCTCGTCGCTGTACAGATCATGTTGGTGGTGATACTTGTGGTTAATAGCCGTCTGTATCTCTTGACCCTCATGATGACATACACACACACACACACACACACAAGAGATGTCAAGATCTCATCCTTAACCGCTCCGCGCACATCCGTCCCGGCTCGCATCTATCTCGGCATCAGCCCAGCCGAGGCGCCAGAGGTGGTGCGGTTATCGGCCCATTCAGACGGACCCGGGGTGGCGTCGACATTTGCCCTGTGTGTGTGTGTCTGTTGTGTGTGTGTGTGTCTGTTGTGTGTGTGTGTATGTGTGTGTGTGTATGTGTATTGTCTCTGACATTCTGTTGTCAGCTGATGACGACATTTGTTGTCCAGCTCAGCTCAGCTCTACAGAGTAATACGGAGAGGACTCGTACAGGTTTTATCCATCCCACGAGTACCCTGTACCTGTACCACTCTACTACTGGTGCTCCTACTGTAATATCACATGCAATCACACTAGCAATATCACTGCACTACGGGGTAATGCTACTGATATGGGTAGTACTAATCGGCGAAGAATGCACGACGTACTCTCGCATTTGCCATCACGGGCCTAGTGATACTGCGGCTATTGCTAACCACGAATCTACGAGTACGAATGCTCATACATAGACGGGTACGTATCATTCATTACATGGTAATTATCTCGTGCATACGGCATTCTTGGCCCAATTTCACCTGGAAGATCACGTGCAACCGCGCCAGACCCGCCCGGAAATTTGGTTGCCTCTATCAATGCGCGATTCGCTCCTGCCAACAGCAAATCACAAGTCGGATTTTAGCTGTAACCTGTCAATACTGCTCGCAAGAAAGGGAAGAGCGATACGGTCCAAGATGAGCGGCGAAGGAGCGATCGGGGGGAAGGGGAAGAAGGTGGGTGCGGGTACGAACAATGTGTCCAGTATTACATCGTCGTCGTCATCATCATGGTACAATCGAAGGGATGATCTGAGATGTGCGATGCGATATCCCTTGAGAAGCAGAAAGTCTCAGGCACATAGGTCGTGGCATGCCCGTGACCTCGTGTATGATGGCATCCCAAGACACACGCTGCGCTGCGAGGTACGTGTGTAGTAATTAAAATGTTTTCAGAGGGGGGGTCCCCACACACGGCTTCCTTTCCTCGGTTCAGAGAAGAGAGAGGGCAAAAAGAAAGAAGTCCCCCCCCCCCCAAAAAAAAAAAAATCAAATCCAAGTCTCTCCAGAGACAATGCCCACCTCCATCCAAGCTGACCCATGCGGCATGCCAGGCTTCCAATCCCAACTTCAGGCAATAATATAAAGTGCCATTATTCTATCCAAGAGTATCCACTTAGACTCCGAACGAACCGGAACGTGAGAAATGTAGCGGTGCACTAGGGAATACGTGTCAAGATACAAGATACCTCACAATGTACTCCTTCGCACATGCACCTCTTCACCACCGGTACTACGAGTAGATACTAGTCCTGGTTGGGCACCACGTTCAGTGGGGATGGGGGTGGGCAGGTGAGCACCGAGCACTAAAGCAGTGAGCACTGAGCACTGAGCACTGAGTGAGGGGGGGAGGGGGGGGGGGGGGGGGGGAGGGAACGCGCCAGGGCGTCGCGCGCCGTAGAGACGCTCCCCGAACGGAACTGGGCTGCATGCGAAATTTCCCCTTTTCGACAGGAAAGAATAACTTACTCTCTCGTCCCCGGCTATACTCGTAATCCTCCTTCCCTCTCTTTCCTTCTTCCCTTCTTCTCCTCTTCCCCTCTACATCTCCACCTCCAGTTTGTCATTTCTTCGGAGCTCCTGTTGGCGCGTTCCCGGCTGCGACGCTGTCCACCACAGCTTCATCCATCATTTTCTTCTTCTCTTCTTGTCATTCCTTCAATTGACCCTTTTTCCTCTACGCCTTGCGGCTTCGTTTTCCCTCTTGTCACAAGGTTCGTGCGTGTCCGCCCGTCCCCTGTGCATGATACCACCAGTTCGAGCAGCAACAAAGACGTCCTCCCTCTCCCTCCCCCTCCCCTCCCTTCTCTTTCTCGGCTCTCCCTCTTTTTCTTTCCCTGCAATTCAGCTCCCCTCTGCCCCTGCCTCCCTGCCGTACGGGAAGGAGGAGAAGAATGAGAGGAAGAGAGTGCTGTACAGGCCAGAAAACTGACGACGACCTTTCATAAAGACACCGTTTCTTCAACAACTCTTTTTAACCTTGCTTCTCCCCGGAAGGCTCTGCCCGTCGACGTCGATTGTCCCCCTGACCACGCACCGTCAAAGTACACACACAAGACAGCTCCGCCATCACCAAGATATATTAGACGGACCTCTCTGCCCATCATGGACGCCATCCTGAAGAGCTTCCCGACGCCGACCCTTGACCGACCCTTTGGCGTCCACCTGTGGTCGCTGTTCGACAAGGTCTGGACGCCCATTGTCGGCTACCCGGCCGGTGACTTCCAGTTCGTGCCGTTCCAGACGCCCATGTCGACGCTCAAGTCGACCTCGACCTTCATCGTCGTCTACTATGCCATCATCTTTGGTGGCAGGGAGGTGATGCGATCCTATGAGCCCTTCAAGCTCAAGACCGTCTCCATGGTCCACAACTTCATCCTCACCTTCATCTCGGGCTCTCTCCTCCTCCTCTTCCTGGAGCAGCTGATCCCCACGCTGGCTCGTCACGGGTTGTATTACGCCATCTGCGATGCCGGCGGTGGTTGGACCCAGCCCCTGGTTGTTCTCTACTACGTGCGTATCCCACGAAGCCGGCCGAGCCGACCTGCTCGCCTCGGCTCCCCCCCCCTCGCGCCGTCGCTAACCCGTCTGCCTCCGCCTCCAGCTTAACTACCTGACCAAGTACCTTGAGCTCCTCGACACCGTCTTCCTCTTCCTCAAGAAGAAGCCCCTGAGTACGGTGGCCCCGGATACCCGACGCACGGTCGTGATGACGCATGCTGACGCTCTGACTAGCCTTCCTCCACTGCTACCACCACGGTGCCACGGCCTTCCTGTGCTACACCCAGCTCCTCGGTCTCACCTCGGTCTCCTGGGTTCCCATCACGCTCAACCTGACGGTCCACGTCCTGATGTACTGGTACTACTTCCAGAGCACCCGCGGCATCCGCATCTGGTGGAAGGAGTGGATCACCCGTCTCCAGATCATCCAGTTCATCATTGATCTCGGTAAGTTTCAGGATGCATGCAGACCGTGACCGGTGGCTGGCTCTCGGACGTGTCGTACTGACGGATGCGCGCCAGGATTCGTCTACTTTGCCTCGTACACGTACTTTACGTCGACCTACTTCCCTTGGATGCCCAACTCTGGATCCTGCGCCGGCGAGGAGTTTGCCGCGTTCGCCGGCATCGGCACGCTGAGCTCGTACCTGGTCCTGTTCCTCTCCTTCTACGCGGCCACGTACAAGAACGACAAGACGAAGACGGGCCGCAAGTCGCTCCGGCGTATGAGCCAGGCGCCTCTGCCCGACCCTCTCCACATGGGAGAGACGCTCAACGGCACCGCCAAGGCGACTGGTTCCAAGTCCAACGGCGGACCTACCACGCGCTCCCGCAAGGCTTAGGCGTAAACTCGAGGGCCGGGTTCAAGCCTCGGAATGGCCTCTGACTGAGGGATGCTCACCCTTCGCTCAAGACGAGACTGTCAAGCTATACACGCGAGGATACGAACGGACGAACTGGCAAGCAGGGTGTGTATATCATGTAAACGTTTTCGATGGCTACTGCCATCTGACAGCCGGCAGATGGAGCAGGGGCTCGGGGCTTGTGTGTGTGTGTGTGTGTGTGCTGGGATTGCCGGACATGTAGATGTCTCGGTCCTGTCTCTTCTTCTTTCCCTGACTGGGCATCGAACGAGCATACCAGCAAGGGAAGAAGAATAGGGGCAGAAAGAAACCCGAAAAGGAAAAAGAAAAACAAGAGTATTGAAAATGGGGGCGAGGGCGGGAGTTTGCATGTCTTACTCCCCTAGCAGTCATAATGATTGGGAAAGGCTGGAGTTGTGGGATTTGCAATGATGCAGCTTTTTACCTGTGGCAGGCTTGCTCGGGGGATGGGTCTCCTTGCTGTCTTGTAGTTGATTTTTTTTTTTACTATTCCTTGGCTGTTGTATGATACGACGCATTGCCGGAGGCTCGCCTAGTCATGTTGTAGGCCGGCGATGTCGATAATAGAGCTAATTGGTGGTGTATACTTTTTGTGCGTGTGTGTGTGTGATGTCGTGCCAGGAACGAGGAAGTGTGTGTACGCGTGCGAGGGTTAGTGCGAGGGAGGGTAGAGGTATTGGTATCGGTAGTGAGCAGTACGAGTTGCCTGCATGCTCGTGATGGTACCCGTGCCGAGGAAGGGTAGCAGTAGTAGGAGCAAGAGGTGGCGATGCTGGTACCACCAGGGGAAGTAAGATGCGTCGTAAGATGACTCGTGACGGGTAAGAGAGGAGAGCTCTGCATCAGAAGCAGCGAGGTTCGATACCCGTCCGTACATGTCTACTTCGTAGGTTGTAGCACGGTCCACGGGTCCACGGGTCAGGTGCGTACGAGCACGCATACGACATACGAGATAGGCATATGGGTTGATGTATCAGACGTTGTGCTAGTAGGAGATGATGTGCTGGTAGAACTGCTGACTGCTGCTACGTGTAGCGGCATATTGATGTGCTAGAGTCAAACATCGGTGAAAACCTCAGGCGCATCACGTCCATATATATATAATATATATATATATATGTGTGTGTGTGTGTGTGTGTGTGTGTGTGTGTGTGTACTGGCGGTGACGCAGTCCTGTCTCTCTCCTACGAATCAAGACAAGGAGGGAGAGCGTAGGGGGGAAGCCTGCGGTGGAGTCGCGTACGTGCCTCGTCCTGTCTCTCTTTTATCTCTCTTCCATCTCTCTCTCTCGTTCGTCAGCCTCTCTCTGGTGAGCTGTCGATGAACAGGTGGCTGTGGCTAGTGTTGCTCTCGTACGTGTGCTACGAGTAGCTGGCAGCCCTCTTCTCCCTTGCTTCCCTCCAGATGATGATTCCCTTGCAAGGAATTACGAGGCAGATGATGCGTAATGCACACACACACACACACACACACACACATATATATATATATATATATATATATATATATATATATACGTAATATATACTCGTATTCCATACTCGCACATGCATGTATAGAGAGTGTATGAAAGCCTATTGAAGAGGAGGAGCTTGGTGGCGGCAAAACAGGCGCTTACCTTGAGATGGAGAGAAGGAATCCGCAGGCGCGTATTATTGCGGGAATACGAGTCATCTGTCGTGCGGGACGGGGTATTATCATTACATACAATACTCGTAGTATCTGCTACGGGGTATATTAGTAATAAGTAGCATTGGATCATGGACTATACATGTATCTGTGTTATGTGCTACCTGGGCACAGGGGAGAAGGAGGAGGAGAGCCCCGAGTCTGATGGGCTAATACCGTATATCCGACTGATTCAATTCTGCAGATTGCATGTATTATCGTCGGTTCTGGATAGGAAAGGTATGCTGGTTCGATAGGTTATACAATATATGATTAGCAGCTCTTTTCGCTGTCCAATCCTTTCGATGGAAAAAAGAGTGCATTACATATTTTCTATCGTACAGGTACGGCGGAGATCACTAGCATCAATAGTTACCTTGCAATACTAAAATAGAAAAAAAAATAGAAAAAAAAAATAGAAAAGGGAGAAAAAAAAAAGGACAAAGAGGCCCCCCCTCCAACATCTTTAAGAGGTGGGTTGCACACCCGACGCGACAGAAGCTGACCTGACCTGGCAGGCCACCAACCCCATTGTCTCCCCTCCCCTTTCCCTATACTCCTTCAATTGTTTGTGGTTTGTTTGTGGTTTGTTTGGTTCTTACTTTCCTCTCTCTCTCTCTCTCTCTTTCCCTTTCCCCTATACTCTGCATGTTTCTACTGCTACTACATTATTCTCTCTCTCTCTCTCTCTCTCTCTACGATACCCGTCTTGTCTGGACTTGACAAGCTCTCGCCGATTCATTCTCCCCCCCCCCCTCTCCCCGGCACACCCACCGCACGACGCAGCCGCAGCTCTTCTTTCCCCACACCACACCACACACACCAACGTCGGATGCGTTGACCACAACCCACCACCATGAGACTCCCCTTTCGACTGCAGAACCTCAAGGATAGGAGAGACGCAAAGAAGAAGTCATCCGCCTCGTCATCGGTCGACCTCAAGTCGTCGTCGTCGTCGTCGTCGTCACCACACGTCTACGGCTACGGTTACGCCGACGCAGACGGCTCCGACGCCGCCGCCGCCGACTCGCTCCGACGTTCGGCAGGTCCGCCACCGACATATCTCTCCGCACAGCTCGTCGGACAGCTCCCGCCAAAGGTGCTGCAGAGGATATTCGCATTCGTGTGCCCGCACGCCTGCGATGAGACGTATGAGACGTGCGAGGAGAGCGCGTCCGACAGGTCCTGCATGCTATGTGACCTGAGGGACCTGGCACATTGCGTACGCGTCAGCAGGCAGTGGAGGAGGAATGCCATACCGGTCCTGTGAGTAGCTCGCCATGTCTGGCCCCTGCGCGCGTCACCGGTGTCGTGTATGGTGATGGCGATGGCGATGGCGGACTTGCCCAATGCCTGGATGGCTGCCGTGTGTGCGTGCGTGCGTGCTGACAATGTCTAGATACCACTCTATCCGGATCGACCCCGTACACTACTGCAGCCTGGAAGCTGTCCTGTCCGAGAAGCGGAAGAAGACGTCGCGCTTCGACCGCAACGGCGTCCCCGAAGACCCGGCGCAGGCCCGGCTGCGGCTGCTGCGGCGCACGGTGCGCGACGACCCGACGAGGCTGGGCAGCATGGTCGAGTTCCTCAAGATACCGTACATGCTGCGCGAGTCGTCGCACGTGGAGCTGGCGCAGACGATTGCCGTCCTGCCCAACCTGCACTACGTCGACCTGCCCGAGGGCATGTTCTCGGACGAGCCGAACCTGGCGACGCTGCGGCTCGAGGTGCAGGCCCGCTGCCCGAGCATGCGCAAGATGACGTACGAGGGCGGCGCGGAGCAGAGCCTGCGCGCCCTGGCGACCGGCACCGTCTGGCCGCGGCTCGAGGTGCTCGAGCTCAACGGCGTCAGCCTCGACCCGCCCTCGATGCGCCGCGTGCTGGCCGGCCTGGGGCACCTGCGCGCCCTCAAGGTGTCGGACACGTACGGCCTGTCGGACGAGGTGCTGGTGGCCGACGACGGGCAGCCGTCGCTGCCGCCGCTGCAGGAGCTCGTGCTCCGGGCCACGCCGCGCGTCACCGCCGCCGGCATAACGTCGTACCTGTCCTGGGTCGAAACCCAGCAGGCCCTGCGCGTCCTCACCCTCGTCGACACCGGCGTCCACCCCGCCAGCCTGGCCGACGTGCTCGCCGTGGCGCCGGCCCTCCGCACCCTGGCCCTGCAGGCCACCGTGACGGAGCCCTTCCCGCAGGCGGCCGGCGCCATCCCGGCCTCGTCCCGCAAGCTCGAGACGCTCCGGTTCGAGATCTCGCCCGCCCCCGAGCTGGGCCCCTACGCCGCCGTCGACTCGAGCTACTACGGGTACCTGGCCGGGTCCATCGTCGGCGGCGGCATGCCCAACCTGCGCAGGCTGTACGTGCTCGACGAGACCATGCCCGACCAGCTGCAGGGTCTGTCGCCGCCCAACGCCGCCTTCTCCGGTGGCGGTGGCGGTGGCGGTGGCGGTGGCGGCCCGCGCACCTCCCACTCCCGACCCGCCAGCTTCACGGCCTCGGGTCGGCAGCCACCCACGCTGCGTCTGTCGCCGGACGGCACGCCATCCAGCCTAGCCCCCCCGGGACACCGGCAGCACGCGCACCCCCACCCCCCGCAGCCGCCGGTCCTGGCCCGACCGCAGTCGCCCGGCCTGCACGCCGAAGCGACGAAGCGGTTCAGCTCCAAGAACCCGTTCGCGGCGCACGGCGCGTCCTCGGCGCCCACGCACGCCCTGGAAGTCTTCATCAAGGCCGAGGAGGCGGGCCAGTGGAACTTTACGAGCATATCGTCGGCGCGGAGCAGGGAGGTGGTCGAGGTGGCGTCGTCCAGGCCGTCGTCCTCGGCCGGGAACGTCCGGCCCCCCCGCCCCGTCAGCAGCTTCGGGCTGGGCGCCGACATCGCAGGCCAGGGGTGGGAGAATGGCGAGGCGAGGCGGAGCGTCATGGTGGGGAGCGGGTCGGGCCCGTTCCTCGCCGTGGCGCACGACGACGCCGTCGACGGTCCCGACGCGGGCGACGACGCCAGGAGCTTCCGGGGAGGGGGCATGCTATCTCCCAGGTACGGGAGTCCGCCTGGAGGCAACAGGGCTTCCAGCGAATCCTGGAGACCGAAGAGTAGTGGGGGGGCGTCGACGAGGGATCTGTGGAGGTGAGGGTCTCGTCTTGCTCTACATGCATTCCATTTTTCTTTCTTTTTTCTTCTCCGCTTCTTTTTGTTTTGGCATGGATAGTATTTTTGGTCATGCTGGCTATGACCTTATGACAATGTCAAGATTTTGAAAGAATTTTTATCTATTTATATCTTATCTTTGGTGACGTAGTGATGTAGTAGTACTATGTAGGATACATGGTCTAGCATCAATCATGGGAGGAACAGGTCTGAGAGGAATAGCGAGCGAAGCAGCAAGGACCCCCCGGTATGGCTGCCAGAGGCAGGATGAGTCAGTAGCGATGTAGCCGTGTACGAAATAGTGATGTAGTAATAATATATATATGTGTTGGTGGGCCTGAGGCAACACGGTCACATGAGGGCCATCCAGACCATAGAGGCATCTCACATTTCGACATGTGAGATCAGCTAGCTAGTTCTTCATCATCAGTCTTCTCCCTCATGGGTGCCCCTCTGCACTCCCCACAGGTTCCGAGCTCCTTTCAGCTTCTAGAGAGGGCTTTCTCACGCATTTAAAACCACACATACCTTTTTTATTCATTTCTCCGCGTCATTCAACGCCAGAGACCAGATATGGTAGTGGTGATCCTACCACTAGGCACAGCAACAACAACAAAAACCCCCGCTCTGTGTTTCTCTCGAAACAACGCACAGCAATAGCTAGAAAGCTCCGCACAACAACAACCATAGCCCGTACGACAGTCACAGACGTCCCCAAGCTCAAGGGCGTAGACGGTTCTTCATCCTGGAAACGCAGCTTCGATGCTTTCGTTGTCAAACGTCTTATGGTCCCTGATCATGGAAGCTACCAAGGATAGTATAGAAGAGCCGTGAAGGCAGAGGGATGCTCGCCACGATCTACAGCAGCGCTCCCCCATCCGTGGTGGACGATGTCACTGCTCACGGTCTCGTCGACGAGGCTGCTATCTCACGCCCGAGGGCTCTATACAGGGCTATCATACAACACCTAGGCCGAAGCAAGGTCTTGCACGTCAACGATGCCATCATCAAACTCCTCTCCATCGCTCGTCAGAGCTGCGCTGACTGCGCCCAATGCCTACGAGAACTCCAAAGATACTAGACGCTCATCCGAGACAGCGAGATCGATCTGAGCATCCCGTCTTTTCATCGTTGCTGCCCCTCAAAGCATCGAGAAAAGTCTATCCCATGGACTTCAGCAACTACATGGGAGATGTCAGAGAGAACAAGAAAGTCACGGATGATAACCCCGTTGATTCCTTCAGCTAGAGAGCTCGCCTCGAGTCCGGGCAGTGGAGGCTCAGGCCTGTACACAAACCCAGACACACGACGATGGGCTCCTTCGACAGCACTAGATCCGGCACGACGATCTCACGTGGCTGCGTCATCAGGCCGGAGGGCAAGACTCATGCACCTGACCGATGCTGGAAGCTTCATCCGGAACGCAGACAAGGAGAGCATCGACTACGAGTCGAAGCCGAGCGCAGGCAGCGGCAAGCAGAATATGACGCTGCCGCAGCCGCCAACGCTCCCGGCATCGAACGTGAAGAGAGATGCACGTGTCCGGTCTAACCGAACGGTGGAAGCATATCTCATCGATATCGACGCTGTGAACGGATACCTACGACGATTGATGCCCACTCCCGTCAGGGTCTCCGATACGCTCTCCGAGGGCCAGATGCCAGGACCCGATAGGGGAGTCTGTATCGAAGTGGGGGGGGAAGGATGCCGAAAGTGGTACACAAGTAGTCACTGACCCCCGATTCCGTCAAGGAAGAGGGCATCGATCAATATGCATACACTGGTCACTGGTGCCTTGATCACATGCAACACGTGTGGAACTGTGGGAATTCGGACGAATGCAGTCTAAACGAGGCAACGGAAGTGATGATGTCGATGATAGCTCTCTAGCTACGAATGTGGGGAAAAGTTAGATGTGTGCGTGTTTGGCTGCCATCACGTGGACAACCGTGGGTCGGTCACGACATAACGCTTCTTCTACCTCGCCTCTATACGCAGATCTTGTCACCCATCTCACCACTCCCTCCCCCAAGCAGACCCGTTGTCTGACAGATCGAAGGTACTGTCGTCAGCAAGGACTCGACGAACGGTTTCTACTGCGAGGCCTGTCGCTCAGCCAAGCCAGTCCGATACGTCGACCGCGTCAACAGAGGGGATTTTCAAGTTACCCACGCCCAGACCGACCAAACGGCTGCCGATGGTCTCACGGAGGGCCTCAATGCACAAGGCCATGGCGGGATTGCGGACATCAACCGAGCGTTGTGATGGTAATTTGAGAAACGGAACACATCTGCCATGATGAAGGGCATCTCACATCTCAGAGAGATGCGAAATCAGCTAGCTAGATCATCATCATCAGTTTTCTTCCCCCATAAGTGCTCCTCTGCCCCCTCGCCACAATATGACATAGTCTAGTATTGGGTTTCGAGAGTGATGGGCGAGCGAAGCGAGAAGGAACCACCCCCCGCGGGTTGGGCCGCTGGAGGGAGGATGAGATAGTAGTGACGCAGTGTCGCGGTGATGCAGTACACAGGTTCTACAATAAGGGCCTATAGGGTGGGTACAGATGATGCGTGTACGAGTAAAGGATGGCATGGTTTATCAATATTACATATGCAAATCGGTACAAACAGTTGCGGAAGCAGATACACCGTCTCTCTCTCTCTCTCTCTCTCTATTATTATTATTATCATTATTTTTATTTTTATTATTTTGGAGGGGCGGGGGACGTTTCTATTAATATAACCGTACATGGTGAGCGATGGAACATGACGGGTGATATGGCAGCTGAGCTGTGATATCGTAGCAGCGGAGTATAGAGATGGCGAGTATGGAGTATGGACTACGAGTACAGTACAAAAGTTGGCGTATAGAATACGAGTAGAGAGCGATCTGTCGATGTTGGGATATAGAATACGAGTGCCTGTATAAGAAAAAAAAGAAAGAGAAAAAAAAAAACTAGATTTCTATATTTAGGATGTGGCTGGGCGTGGCTCGGCCTGCGTCGCGGCTCATATCGAGTTTCATTATAGCGATCTGTAGCCTCGCATGGATGGCGTGTAGATGGTAGACGGTTGGCGTCGCCGTCGGCGTGTACATGTGAGAGGTCAGCCGACTAAAATTAACCTGCACTAGCTCGTAATGCTGAGGACGGTATTACGTCGTTGAACAGTTGGCCGGTCAAGGCTGATTGGGAAGGCTGACCTACCCTAGGAGGCGCGGGGGGCGGGGGGGGAGGAAGAAGCGAGTAATGATGGGGACTATTGAGCAACAACATGACAGCCTAGCCAGAAGGTCAAGGAAGGTTAGGAAAGACCAAAGACCTAAGAAAGGTAAATGCGTACGTAGTCTTATCCGTAGATTTGTTTCTATAGTACGCCGTGCTCTGGTTCTATGCGCCTGCTGTGTTTTATATATTCATCTTTATATACAAGACGAACGGCTTGCGCTCGAATGGGTGTTGTTATATATGCATCATCAATAGTCTGGTCTGTAGTGGTAAGGCAACGGTGCACCGACAGTCTACTGATCACGTGTACTGTCGGTAAATGTGCATCTGATGCGAAGCTCAAGTCAGCGAGAGAAGCGAGGATGACACGGACGTACAAGACGAGATTGCAGCGATGCATTACTCGTCGAAGCATACAGGCTATATCAGTCTAGTATCGATCTTGACAAAGAGCAGCGAGCGAAGCGAGAAGCACCCCCGGTAGGGCCGCCGGAGGCAAGATGATGTATCATTTCATCCATTTACTTGTTTAATTTTTATTTATTTAAATATTTAATTTTAAGTAAATTTTTTTTTTTTTTTTTTTAAAAAAAAACAATAATCTTTTTGTGCTTTCTTGCTCGTTTGTTTTGTTTGTTTCGTTTTGTCTCTACTTTCAATTTCGATCTGGGAAGAGTTTGATTTTAGGAGAGGCAAGGAGAGAGAAAGAAAGAGAGGGAGAGAGGGAGAGGAGAGACATATGGAGATTGGATCTCTGACCTCTACTTACCCTTGGCCGTTGTTGGTTTGAAGAGGAACGAAATGCAGGGGGGTGCATATACAGAGAGTACTCAGTGTGCGTAGCTGCTGACCTGGTGCAAGGACACACCCCTTGCTTCTACAAGTATGACATGTGGGACATGCATGGCACGACAGTAGTCAGAAAAAAAAAAGGGAAAAAAAAAGGAAGAAAAAAAAAGGGTGGACAGCCTCCGAAGTCAGAAATACGCCGCAGAGAGATGAAAATGGTGGGAGTGAGTGGTGGGTGCATGGGGATGGGGATTCCTGACTCTCTGACTCTGCACAGAGTTCTCGTATTATGGGGATGAGGAGGAATATGTCCTCGTGATGAGAGAGAGAGAGAGAGGGGGGGGAGGGGCGGGCTAATAATCTTGGGCCCCAAGTGTCGGACAAGTCACAAGGTTGGAGGCGATGGGCTCAGGTTCAGGGTCCTCCAGGGGGTCTCCAACGTAAGGGGATCAGTACTCGGTAGGTGTGCAGATTAGTAAGACCGACAATACAGTACGTAGTAGCCTGTGTCTTCCGATAGCGATGAGCGATGAGCGATGAGCGATGGGCGATGAGCGACAGACTGACGGGAGTCTGCGGTACGAGCAAGGAGCGGCAACTCTGACGAGGCTGCCACGGAGTGCAAGTCTAGGAAGCATGACAGTCCACGGAATATCCGTACAGTCTAGGGCGTACGAGTAATATTCATCATTATATCACCGGGTCAGTAATCTGTATTCGTACGGGAGACTAGAGGTTAGCAGTTCTGCTCTAGAGGCTAGCAGATATCAATACCCACTATTGATCTTCGCGCGTAGGAGAGTAGCGTGGTTCTGCGTAGCGCGTCGTGGGCATGGACGGTACGTACCAGGAAGCGTGCTCGTCAAGGGGAGAGAGAAGGGGGGTCCGGGATTGGATTGGATTGGATGTCGGATACCTTGGCAGGTCAGAGCTTCATGGGATGATGTCGAATGAGTGGGAGGAAGAGGGAAGAGGGAGATGGGATCACGGAGAGTTTTATTATTATTATTATTATCTTTGGGTCACTGCCGTCATTCTTCGGGGAGGCAAATCATCTGCCAGGAAACAATGCCATTGTTATCATCACATTTCTAGGAAAGATGGGGTTGGGAGAAGACGTAGAAGAGCTGGACATGTGAAGATGAGAGTAGACGAGAGATGAAAGGGTCAGCAAGAATGAAGGGGGTCATTAGTGATGAAGAGAGTAGTAGATGAGAGATGAAAGAGTAAGACAAGAAACAAAGAAGATAAAACAGATTAAAACATATTTATTTGTCTATTTAATTTTGAAAAAAAAAAAAAAAAAAGAGAGACCCTCAACATCTGAAACGACAGACGGGCGCGTGCTAAGAAGTTTGCACACTCGGAGTGTTGGAGAGTCAGAGAGGTTGGAGGTTAGAGAGATATTGAGATATTGAAAAATAGATGAAGAGAGAGGATAAAATAGATGGACCGGGGTGGTTGATTGGTTGAGAAGGGGGGAACCGATCGAGAGCATGAAGCTTGGCTGTATCGAGCATGGGGAAGATGATCTGTGTGAGACGAGAGTGAGTGCGTACGAGCGAGTAGGCCTCATGCGGGTACGTAAGTGGAAGCGTATATATGTATGTATGTATCGCTACGAGCACTCGGACATTACAGGGGAGAGGGGGGGGGGGGAAGCCGTGATATCGAAAGGAATCACCGGTAGGGCTTGATCGTACATGCTTATCGTTGCGTGCCGAGCGATATCAGTGCTGCAAATATGCACAAGATGGTGGTGAGATGACGACTCTCGGATGTTGCATCGCAGACTCGTGTGCGCGTATTCGCAGATTCGTAGTCGATGACGTACAGACGCACAGACAGATCCGAAACCGCCAGGTGGTCAGACCATCACGGGAGCCCGTCGCAGATGCGCGCGTTCCCCCAGAATGCCGAATGCCAGGGCCCAGATGTGTGGGTGGGAGGAGTGTCACGGGCAATGATGTACGAGAGAGGTGAAGAGAGTCGGGATGCAGGACGATTTTGACGTGTCGATGCACGAGATGGTAAGGGGGAGCATGTAGGGAGGAGGAGGAGGAACGAGGTGAAACCTGATGCGGCGGCGGTTGGTCGTTCGAGAGGTCAGGAGAAGAGATCCGGAGAGCTGGGCGCTTGTGGTCTGGAGAGGGACTGGGGGGAGCCTGGGACTGCTGGATGGGAGGGGGGAGCACATCGACAGGAACGGGCTCAGGGCTCAGGCTCAGGGGTTCTAGGGTTCCCGGGAAGGGGATTCCCCCCCTCCGAGGGATCAGGATCACGGCCGGTGCAAAAGGTGCTGGGTCAGAATACTTACTGATAGGGCAGCGCAGCAGCACCTCTTGCGCGTGATGGGCCCCGGCCATGCCTCGTTGTATTATATCTGCACATGTATCGACTGGTACGGGACTGGTACGGGGTACGGAGTAATGATATCCATAGCAGAGAGAGAGAGAGTGCGACCTTACGATTTCCGCCACGTCGCACAATCCATCGTAGCAATACAGAGTAGACTAGACTGTCCGTGTAGTGATGCTCTCCACAACTCATTGGCCATCGGGACCCCCCCCCCCCCCCATCTTCATCAGCCCAAACGGGGAAGGATGCAAGGAACGACTGACAACTCCTGGTTCCTTCCTTTTCTGACCATTTTATTCTTCTTTTTCTTTCTCTCTGTTCCTTCCTGTTCCTGCCTGTTCCTGCCTATTCCTGCTTAGACATTTCTCCGTATTCCTCACCTCCCTTTCCTCACCTCTCTCTCTCTCTCTCTCTCTATCTCTCTCTCTCTCTCCTAAATACCTGTATATACATATGCACATATTACTGAGCAGAGTGTCGGATGTGTATTACATAGTATTGACAGAGTATTTTAATATGGTATTACTCACTGCCCACTGCTCACTGCCCACTGCTCACTGCCCACTGCTCACTGCCCACTGCTCCGGTCCCACGCAGCGGGTCACACCCTGGTAAGCGGCCTGTGGCGGGGCCGACCAGGGGCTGGGAGGGGGCCTCGTGTCGGACCACGAGTACGGAGTGTACGAGCGCACTGGCTCTGGCTCTAACGTCAGTAGGCTGTCACGTACTCCGTACTCCGTAGTGCATACGAGCGAGACGAGTACACAGGTAGGTACGGCCACTGTACGAGCACGAGTACCGGTAGCTCTCGGCGTCCCAGCGCTCTCCCCTCTGCCTGTGCTCTGCAATGCTTCCCGTGCAGCAGCAGCAGCAGCAGCAGCGGCAGCAGCAGTAACGGATCGTCCGTGAGATCTGATAGGCTGCACGCTCGATGCAGTCCTCACCCACACACCCACACANCGTACTCCGTAGTGCATACGAGCGAGACGAGTACACAGGTAGGTACGGCCACTGTACGAGCACGAGTACCGGTAGCTCTCGGCGTCCCAGCGCTCCTCCCCTCTGCCTGTGCTCGCAATGCTTCCCCGTGCAGCAGAGCAGCAGCAGCAGCGGCAGCAGCAGTAACGGATCGTCCGTGAGATCTGATAGGCTGCACGCTCGATGCAGTCCTCACCCACACACCCACACACCCACACACCCACACACTCAAGCGCAGAGTCTCCATCGATGCCCATCTCGTCGTCTATTGCAGTGTATTGCGGTACGAGTAATCTGTATTTAATATTATACGTATATATTCATATTCATGTTCATATTATATATACATTATATATATATTATTTATATATATTTATATATGAATATGTATTGGCTGTACCGGTTCTATCATCCTTTCTTTATTAGTAGTCCCCGTCACCGCTTTAAACCCCCCTCCCCTTCCCTCTCTGCTCTTCTTCTCCTTTTCTGTCGACTTGAATTCCGTTACACTCTTCTTCTCTGGTATATCATTATTTCCTCTCCACCTCCCTTCGTTTCCATCCTTCACCATAAAAACTCTACCACCAATACTATTACTGCTCCCCCCCTCCCCTTGTCTCGCCTCCCTTTGGAATGTAGATACAGACCATCTCTCAGTTAACCCCGCCATCCACTCTCTGACTCTCACCACCACACACCATCTCGCCCTTTTTTTCCCTCTCGTGTCTCACGAATCCTCTGAACTGGAACGCTGTGGTTTCGGGTGGCTGGTCCACCATCTCACTCACACAGGCGCTCAAACACCCCAAGCACTCGGTCATCTCAGAAACCATTATTGCTACACCATTGCTGTGCATTCCCCCCCCCCCTCCTCTTCTCCCTACCTCTCTTTTCTGGGTCATCGCATTTCTGTTCTGCTCTCCGGACGGTCTCCTCTTCCGTCATACATCCCTCCCTCCACTGTCTGGCACAAGTCCGAGGAAAGCCTCCCTGCCCCCTTCGAGAGGAAGAAAACACTATTAGAATCTCACTGTCCCTTCGACATCGTCTTTCCTCTCCTACCTCCCTCTCCACCAACCTCCCCCCTTTCCACACACGCCAAGTAAACCACCCTACCATTGGTCTTGGGCTCTAGGATACGCTCTCCATCACTCTATCGACATAGATACGCACGAGACAAGGAAAGGGCAGCACGCGCAAGCACACCCAAATCTCCCAGAACACACACACACACACACACACACGCTCAAGGGAAACAGGACTGTACACCTCTCCTACCCCTCCAATATCCACAACACGATGCAGGCTCCCACCGACCACCAGGCTGCGGCCCCGGCTGTACCTGCCAGGAGCGCCCTGCGAGCCTCCCGTCTCGTCGATTCCAAGGCTACCGCCCACCTGGCCGGGAAGATCGAGTCCTCCCAGCCCCCCCTCGCGCCCTCCGCGGCCCCTCACGACGTCTACCTCTCTTCCGAGGAGGATGCGTCGTCCTCGGCCGACGACTTCTCCGACTACGACCTCGACTCCGACTCCGACCACCAGGTCGCCAGCACCTCCACCGTCCACGACCACGACGACTCCCGCCACTCTCACGAGGTCACCGCCCGTGCCGTGTCCATCGTCTTCCACGGGAAACCCTCTCTGGTCAACCTCCCACCTCGGTCCGCCTCTGCTCCTCCCACCATCAACACCACCACCACCACCGACCGACAGCAGCAGCAGCAGCATCAGCAGCATCAGCAGAGGCGACGCATATCCCCTCCGCTGCCTACCGCCTCCACCGCGACCTCGGTGACGGCAGACCGTCGCCTGTCCACGGCCACCATGATGCCCCCGGTCCGTCCCTGGGCGGTCAGCAGGGCAGGGACGCCCCGCCCCACCACCGTCATCGCCCCCAGCATCTCGTCGCCCACCATGCCGTCCTTCCTCGGCCTCGATCCTTACGACAGGTCCCGGAAGCAGCAGGCGGGATCGGACGCGGCAGCGCGGGAACGCAGGTCGGTGGACATTGCCCGCCTGCCCCCGTCCAAGTCGGCAGGTTCCATGCTCAGGCGCACCCTCACCCTGGCCAAGAAGCACAGCAGGCCGGCCCTCGGCCAGACGTCTACGCAGCCATCCGAGTCTCCTCTGCTTCGCCGTCCCGGAACCGCACACTCTCACCCGCCCGAGATGCTGTCGTCGCCCATGTCCGGCGGCAGCGACCGCGACGGAAACCGATGCTCGACGCCGCCGGCCGGTCACCGCCCCCCGCGGAGGGCGTCGACTTCTGCTGACCCGAGGCCGCCTGCGACGATGTCCGACAGGTCTGATTCCAGGTTGGCCAGGGGCCACTCGCGTCTGCGCAGCAGTCTGTCCATTTCTATGCGGAGGGCGTAGGTCAGGTTGCATCTCACACACATACACACACACACCACACATATATACACATGTGCGCATCATTATGATTATACGGAGTTGAAAGGCATGATGGGACGAATGATACCTCTTGGGGCGTTTTTATTATTATATAGGAATAGGAATATACATTTTTCATGATTGATTTTACCTTTTTTTTTTCTTTTTTTTTCTTATCCCTCCCTCTCTCTTTTAATCCCTTTCTTTCCCCCCTCACTGCTCCTTTTATCGTTTCTTATTTCATTGTTTCCTTTATTTTATGCATATTTGAATGAACAGGTGTGAGTGTGACATTGATGTGGTCGTTACATGTCATATTTCTCTCCAGGAAGAAGGAGGAATGAGGAACGAGTAACCGAAAACACATGGAGCATCAAAAAAAAAAAGAAGAAAAGAAGTTGAAAAAAAAAAGTACCGTCATCGTCATGGTAGAATAGAACCGACGACGTACCGCACCGCAACAAACGCCAAGCAGATAATCATCGGAAGTCGAGAAGATGGGACAAGGTTACAGAGTACGAATATGTAACATGTAAAGGCTATACACCGTACAGATTATAGCAGTACATGCACTCGTATATAGATCATACGGCGTTACGTATATGATGGATGGTACGCGCATTGTACGGAGTACGGACCGTCGGATGCTCGTAGTGCCAAGACCAAAAAAAAACTCCCCCCCCCCCAAAACACACTATCTGTAAGAAGACGACGACGAGGCAGTTTGAGATGTGAGACACGGATTTGTGTCATTGTGATGTGATGTGTGTGTGTGTGTGGTACCCGCAGCTGCATTGACACGAGAGACGACCCCCCTCCCCCCTCTCCCCCCTACCCACTGACCCACGATGTCAAGCATAGATGCCCAGTTTGGTGTCTAGCTGCTGCTATGTTATATTAGTGGAGCGGGACATGTTAGGATATCGCCCGTTTTATACATGATGTATTGAAAGTTGGGAGCGTAACTTTTTTTTTTTTCACTCTCAATTTGATTTTTATATATTTATAATCCTTTTTTTTTTAAAAAAAAATTAATCTCTATATTATTCCTTCTTTGCTTTTTTTTCTTATTTGTATATGAGAATTCTATGTATGGGAGTGTTTATATTCCATCCTGTCTTTGTAGAATAAAACCTTCTCCATCTCGGATGAAGAGATGAGATGGTCATGCTCCGTACAGTCAGTCCAAGATTCCCCAAAGGAAACGAGACCAGAATTATAGTCCGAGGTAAAACAAAGGCAACAAGATCACAGTCCAAGAAAGAAAGAAAAAAAAAACAAAGAGAAGAAAACACGGAAAGAATCACGAGACAAAGAAAAATGACACGAAACAAAAAAAAAGAAAAAAAAAGAAAAGAGAAACAGAGCCAATCTATTCAACCTATACCCGAGACAAGACGTGGGGAATGGAATCGTTGCGTATCGGATAAATTACTGTATACTCTTAACCAAGGTTATCCGTACTCTCTCTCTCTATTTCTTGTTTTTTTGTTTTTTGTTTTGTCTTTTGTTATTCACCATTATTCTTGTCTTGTCTACTCTGACCCTCTTTGCTCCGTAACCCTTCGGTTGGTATCGTCTTTCTTCATCTTCACCGTACGATATCACAGATGCATCAGCTCCTTCTTCGAGAAGAGCCTTTACGGTTGTGATGATGGTTAATTGTATTGTCTTGTAGGATGACTCTCTTCATGATGGCAACATGTATGCTTGCCATGTCATCCTGAGGCAACAACCCCGGTACCGGGTGATCCCTTCTTCCGGCCGCATTTGGCAACCTGATGCAAAACACCTTCATGCTCCTTGTAATACGATCATAATACAATGTATACTCCGTACGCCGCTCTCTGTACACTACCCTCTCTCTGCATTCATGTATTACCCAACTCTATCACGTACTCTTCTTCTTCTTTCCTTTTTTTCCCTCCTCTTCACTCTCATCTTGTGTAATCATACTCGTACGAGCTACTCTGGACTCTGAACAGCTGGTGGAGTGCCAGCAAGAACGGCTTAGACTGCGGCAACGGCTTTCGCATCTACTCGTGCATTCATTCTTCTCCTTCTACATCTTGCCCTTGTTCTCCATCATTTCACCTCTTCCAAGCCTCTCCTTCTCCCATCTCCCAAGTCTCTCCTCCGTCGTCTAATCTCTCCTTGATCAATGTAGTAGTCTCTTCATTCTCCAACTTCTCTTCTCTCTTCCCATTATCTCTCCCTTCTTCATCTTCTCCATCTCCCCCATCTTCTCTCATCTCTTCTTCTTCTATCCCATCTTCATATTCATCCCATGGTCGAAGATGACCCTTCTCACATCATGAACTTCCCTTTCAAGGAAACCGTGAAACACATGCATCGCTCAATTATATATGCAAAGACTGGTAATGACTCTCCAAGTATACAAGTATACATAAGTACATAATATGCAGATGAAGCCCGGCGACGATCAACGTATAAAATGCCAAGCGCATGCCACGCACAGAGAGAGAGGAGAGAGGAGAGAGAGAGAGATGAGGCCAACACGAAAAAAACAGAGAGATGAGGTCAGATCAAACAGGGAGAGAAACAAAAAGTCAACGATAAGAGAAGAAAAGAAAGGGAAAAAAAAAGAGGTCAACAGCACCGAAAGAACAAAAAAAACAACAACACAATAAACACGCACACACACCGGACAACCGCACCTACATGCCATGGCCACGCGCACAGATCAGCCACACATCCACCATCTACGGTTGACAGGATTGAAAAAACCCACACTGCCATCCCCCCCCCC